CAAAGATGTTGAGCAGCACTGGACCCAGAACTGACCCCTGAGGGACACCGTTTGACACTGGTCTCCATGTAGACATTGAACCATTGACCACAACTCTTTCAAAGATGTTGAGCAGCACTGGACCCAGAACTGACCCCTGAGGGACACCGTTTGACACTGGTCTCCATGTAGACATTGAACCATTGACCACAACTCTTTGAGTGCGACGATCCAGCCAGTTCTTTATCCACTGAGTGGTCCATCTGTCAAATCCGTGTCTTACCATTTTAGAGACAAGGATGTCATGTGGGACAGTGTCAAACGCCTTGCACAAGTCCAGGAAAATGACATCCGTTGCTTTACCCATGTCAACCAGCGCTGTAGCTTTGTCGTAGAAGGCCACTAAATTAGTCAGGCATGACTTGCCCCTAGTGAAGCCATGCTGGCTGTCATCAACCACTTGGTTATTTTTTATGTGCCTTAGTACAGCTACCAGGAGAATCTGTTTCATGATTTTACCTGGCACAGAGGTAAGGCTGACTGGTCTGTAGTTTCCCGGGTTGTCCTTGGTCCCTTTTTAAAAGATGGGGGTTACGCTGGCCCATTTCCAATCTGTAGGAACCTCACCAGACTGCCAGGACCTCTCAAATACAATGGCTAGTGGCCTAGCTAGCTACAGTGCTACAGGAACTGAAATCATGGGAGAAGGCACCTCCATGCAAATTAGTCTGAAACCTTCGCTGCAGAGGGAAATTGAGACAGGGCATAAGGAGAAGGTTAGGGAAATTTTGACTGGGAACTTTCACACATTAGCATGGACCCAGAAGATAACATGGTAAGCACACAGTGGGGAAGCAGTGTCTGCATTGTGGCCAGTTGGGACACGCTGTCTCAGCTGCTCTGTGCGCGCATGGCTGCCTGCATTCAGTGCCATCATGGGCTGCACAAAAGCAGTGTCCAAGGCTTTAAGGACCTGGGCTCCAGTGCCACTCTGTCCAGGAGGGCTTCCAGCTTGCCCTGCAGCCCTGAAGACCCTGCTGTCTCTACCTTGTCTGGCTGGGGAAGCACCTGGAAGGACTGACCATGACTGAGAACCAGTAAGGTTTTTTAATTTTAGTTCGCCTTGGGAAACGTAAAGCAGTTGCACTAGCCAGAAAGGCCCGTCTCCCTGCAGCACAGCTAAACTGCCAGCCTGGCACATCGTGACGGGAGCACACCATACTGTGTGGACTTCGGTGCTATCTGAGGAGCCCGTCCCCAGGGTGGCCAGTGCTGCATGCACCCACCATTCAAGGCACAATCAGGCATCGCTGCAGGAGGGAAGGAGAGCGCACAAGAGAGGAGCAGTTGGCAGAGCACGCTTTAATGTACTTTTTAAAAATTGAATCCTTTCTGCCTCAGATCCCATCCCTGATGGTGTACTTCCTGCAGATTCCTGTGCCAGCCGGTACTCAGGTTATGAATTGTCTCAGACAGCACAATGGACATTTTCCAATAATGAAGTAATCCTCAACAGGCAGAATAGAGGTTTAGTGTGAGAAACAAGGAGCCAGCTTCGGGCAGACCTTTGAGTTGGACTAACACGTTGTGTTGTACCTCTTCTCACGAAAGACCTACAGGATGGGGCGGGGGGATCGAGGGCAAGGTAGCAAGAGATAGTCTTTAAAAAGGAGTTAGGCTAAGAAAGGTGTTAGTTGTAGGTAAGCCTGCCTACACAAAGATGGATGAGATAAATCCTTTCTAGCAAAATTGCCTATGATGCTCTGCTTGTGGAGGGGATACTGTTGTGCTTGGATTTATTATACAGTGCCAAATGACTTCCTTTGGTATGTGAGTTTTTGCCTGTGATGACAATAAATGTTTTCTGAAATTCCAAAAAGAATATAAGCAAAAGAAATGGAAATCTACATTGTACTTTTACAACACTCTGGCATAAAAATAGTTGTAAATGGTGATCAGAACAGAAGCTTAAAAGTAACAATGTGGAACTGTTGAATTCTTCACAAAACCTATTTGTTCCATCTTTCCTCCATAAAAATTGCTAGGATCACGTCTCCAGGGATTGTGTACACTAAGAACACATTTATGTGTACTGATTTGGCGACTAAACTGGTGAAGGGGCTGGAAAATAAAACTTACGAGGAGCAGCTGAGGGAGTTGGGGCTGTTTAGCCTAAAGAAGAGGAGGCTGAGGGGAGACCTGATTACGGCCTACAAGTACTTGAGAAGGGATGGTGGGGAAGTGGGGGAAGGGCTCTTTACATCAGTGATGGGTGATAGAACAAGAGGAAATGGGTATAAGCTTAGTCAGGGGAGGTTCAGGTTGGATGTTAGAAAGAATTTCTTCTCTGAAAGGGTTGTCAGCCACTGGAATAGGCTGCCCAGGGAGGTGGTTGAGTCCCCATCCCTGGATGTGTTTAAGAAAAGGGTGGATGTACTGCTTAGGGACGTGGTTTAATGGGGGATTAGGGACGGTTGGACTGGATGATCTCTAAGGTCATTCAACCTAGAAATTCTATGATTCTATGACTTATTTCAGTATGCTGAACTAACTCTTAAACTTTGATTAAAAGTGCAGACAAGTTTTTCAATCATATTCTAAGGCTGCATTAGAATGTCTTACTGATAAACAGTGGTTTTGTTACAGAAAACTTTTGGCTCTGTAGTATTTATGTCCTTTCCAAAGACACCTTGTGTTGTGGTTTTCACAGTACCATTGGTAGCATGGCAGCTTTCCAAAACCCGGAGCCTGCAAAGGGATTGGGAGGAGACTGCTGCACCACATCTTGCCTTCTTCCATGATACTGTGATGCTGAACTTTCTCTGTCTCTGCAGGTTCCTTGCAACTGTGATGAAGTTTGGAAGGGTGCAGTTGCTCCTGATTGTGGCAGTTCTGTCCTTCCTTCTGATCCAATTTCACTTCCTACCCAGCAGCAACAATGCCCCGATGGAAGAAAAACCTTCCCCAGTCCACATCCTCATTCTCTCCTCCTGGCGGTCAGGATCTTCCTTCACTGGACAGATCTTCAGCCAGCACCCCAGTGTCTTCTACCTGATGGAACCTGCATGGCATGTGTGGGTTAAGATGTACCAGAACAGCGCCGAAGTCTTACACATGGCAGTGCGGGACCTAGTCAGGTCGGTCTTTCTGTGTGACATGTCTGTATTTGATGCTTACATGTCTAGCCAGAAAAAAAAGTCTGATTTATTTCAGTGGGAGACAAGCCGAGCTTTGTGCTCCCCCCCTGCTTGTGACTCTTTCAGTCGCAGTGACATCATCACTGCAAGCAATTGCAAAACAATCTGTGGCAAGTACCCATTCAGCAAGGTGGAGGAAGCTTGTAAAACCTACAGCCACGTTGCCATCAAGGAGGTTCGGTTCTTTGACCTGAAAGTTCTCTACCCTCTTCTCACTGATCCATCCCTGAACCTCAAAATCATTCACTTGGTACGGGATCCTCGGGCTGTGTTCAGGTCCCGAGAGAATACAATGGCAAACCTGAAACGTGACACTAGCATCGTTGTGGGGTCCCAGGGGACAAAAGGAGAAACGGTGCCCTACAACACAATGCAAGTAATCTGCAAAAGCCACGTTGAGATTTACAAGGCAGGCAGTCAGGCCATTCCCAGCTTCCTGAAAGACCGTTACCTGCTGGTTCGCTATGAAGACATTGTCAGAGACCCACTAGCAAGGGCTGCTCAGATGTACAGGTTTGCAGAACTCCATTTCACACCAGAACTTCAGAAATGGGTGCACAACATCACCCATGGGAAGGGGCAAGGAGCACAAGCCTTTGATATTGGGTCCAGAGATGCACTGAGAGTATCCCAAGCCTGGAGGAAGACCCTCCCCTTCCAGAAAATAGAAAAAGTGCAAAATGTGTGCAAGGATGCAATGGACTTGCTGGGCTACCGGCTCATTCAGTCTGAAGAAGAGCAAAAAAATATGTCACTGGATCTTTTGTTTGCCCAGAACTCCTCTGAGTAACAAATTCTGAAGGCAGAAAAGCTGCTCTCTGCACCTACTCTCTGGAAACTGCAGAGTGGAGAACTCTAGTAGAGCAAAAGAGGACAGAGGCGAACGCATATATGTGTAAGAGTGCATGCATGGATGTGCTGTGCAAGGACAAGTAACACAGGAACCCTGACTGCATTCCTGAGAGCTTTCTCAGCAGCACAGGGTCACGCTCCAAGGCCCCTGGAGGCTCAGCAACAACGCAGGCTGAAGTAATGCAAGTCTGTTTTCCAAATTAAGTCCATGGTTTATGGGAAAGAGGAAGTATGTGTAGGCTGGAGCAAACAATGCCAAAGGAGTGGGGCCAGATAGCAGAGCTCAAATTCCTCACAGATCACAGTTAAATACTAGTAAAACCACATGGAGCAATTTCACTGCAAAGGAAGAGGAGATAATTGGAAGCTGAAAAAAGAGAACACTTTGTTGTGCTGCCACCAGGATATGTAATGCCAGAAGAGACACAAGGATGACCAGACATTGGTTTCTGGATTCTTTTTTCAGAATGGTTGAGTTTTCAAGCCCAGTTTTTCTTTTGCTCCACTCCTATGCTTAGGCATTCAGCCTTGGTGGCAATGTTGGGGAAATGTTTGTGTTCGCTTACTATATGATGGGAAAATGGAATAAACCAACTATAGTGGAAAATAAAAACTCCTGAGTTTGCACATGTGGATCCATTTCTGGGACTGTGTGAATCCATTTATTTTTCAGCTGAAATAAGTCTGTATTTCAAAACCAAAAATAGCTATTCCCGTGGGAGTTCTCACAGTCCACATGAGTGACTGAGAAGAATTGATGCCAAGGTTGAGACTGTAGAGACAAGGTAAGGGCACAGATTCCATTGCTATAAATACTGGAACTGGGGAGATAGGTTAATGGCAGTGGATTGAAGAAGCTAAGGGGAGAATAGGAAGTTATCCTATTGAATTATTTGGTGAGAGTATTTCCTGTCTTACAGCACAACAAAATTATGTTTAGTAGGCTATGCCATTCTCCAGCATTTCCATTGGAGATGCCATTCTCCCACCTCCAATGGGAATATGTAGCTCAAACCTGAACAACAAAATTATTTTAACCTGGTTTTAACAGTGTTCTATAAAACAAGGCAAAAGCTTGTTACCAAACGTGGGGAGTGAAATGCCTACAAGTACCTCCTTCTAAACATCCTCTTTCGTGTGTAAATTGCAGGGTGCCTTTAAGATACATCTACTTAACAGTGCATTCAGTTGTTGCTCCAGACCTGCAATATTTCCACTATCTTGCAGACAGCAAGGCAGCTGTGCTAAGGCAGGATCACAAGCATCAAAAAGGGATGAGGCTTGCTTCTGAGGATGTGCATCCTTGGGAGAAGGTGATCAAGACAAGGTTGGGCACTGGAGGTGATCCGAGGAGGCTCCAGGCAGCATGAGGGTGTTCAGGGCCATGGGAAACTGTGTTCCCCTTCCCTCTCCACCAACACCCCCACCCCCCATTCATGGTTCACTGCTCTTTCTCCCAGTGCACTTCTTCCCCAGCTGCCCTGGCTGCAGCCCCTTGCCCCAAGGCCTTGTTCACTTTGTTGGTCAGCTGCCCTCCTCATGTCAGTGTAGCTCTGGTGACAGTGCTCATATTAAAACTGCCAGAAGGGCATTTGGTGCCCACTGTAGGAAAGTCACAATGTCTACGTAGAAGACTAACTTTGTTTGCATGTTACTAAAAAGTTGCAATATCTTCTTAAAAAAAGAAACATACATTGCTGAATTTTAAAATTAGGGGATATAGTGACTGTGTTCATGTTCGAAGGTGTATAGGCAAGAAACAGTGTCCAGGCTGTGCCTTTTGTGTGTGTTTGAAGGTTGATAGAGAAGGATTCACCTTAACTGAATAGCAATCTCTAGTAGTAGGAAGGCGGCTCTTCTAACAAATTCACAGCAGCTGGGCTGGTTGAGGTTTTTTGTATCAGAGAATTAATGAAGGTTTTGTTATGTGCTGATTCTGCTGAGGAAATTAGGGAAAGTAACCTTACAGACAGACACTGAGCAGTTACGTTGGTCAGCAAGAGAAAGTAGCTGCTAGCTAACGAGTGGACCTGTGGAATGAACCACTGAGCCATCCCCAGTTAACAACCAGCTCTGAGACCACAAAGAGCAGCAGCCTAGAGAAGTGGGAGAATTTCCCAGCCCAGAAACAGCTCTGTAGTCACCTTCACTGGGGTAGGCATCAGCATTCCAGATCCTGTGTGTCCCTTTTCGGTAAGAGACCATCAAGCACCAGTTAGGAAGAGAGTTGCAGGATGAATTGTGCAACAGCAAGCGGTGAGTAGGGGAGGGTAGCTGCTCAACAAGGCAGCTCTAGAAGCAGAATTGGTCAAGCAGTGGGAAAGATAATATAGGCGGGAGGGAGGAGCTTTTCTTTCAGTTTCTGTAACATTCAGTATTAATGTTAATTATTTAGATTTCACAGGCCAGTGTTTTGTTGCAGCATTTCTCTTATCCATGAAATTCTATTTCTTCAAATGCCCCTGTGCATAGTCATGCCTTGTAAGGGGTGGGTGGGCAGGGGCAGACCTCAGCTTGTTACCCAGTTAGCAGGGTTTTCTTGGTTTCTGCGTGCAGGACTAGATGAATGTCAGTGTTTCTGAAGAAGCTCTTTGAAATTGTATCCAGACATCTCTTACCACTAAACAGGGCCTAGCGCGTTGAATTATTCAGATGCACTAAGTCTGTACACCGTACAAGCCAAATTTCTCTATAGGGGCTGGTGATTCCTTCAGCACAGTCAGTCACTATCCAAATTTCACTTTCAGTCATGCTTTTCTTTTGGATGAAGCAATCAGCCCTAGTCACCAAGACTAAAAACATTTTAAAGCAGCTATGGATGATTACAGGACATTTGCTCCTCAGGGACATGTTTTCTTCCTGGAGACCACTGAGAAAAGGTTCCTCTAAGTACACATCTTATTGTTTAAAACAAAGATGTTATTCTTTGTGGTTGGAAAGACTTCAGTAGCTTTCCACAGTCTGAATTTCCATTTCATCATCTGTAAAACTGTGATAATACTGACTCAATTCAGAAGAGGCAGATCTCAGTCTTGTATTGTGTAAATAAAGGTTTGAAGCTAGATTCATAAAGGGGACATCAGAAGTTGTATCCAACATTTAGGCTTTAGTGACATTTGCAGATCACCTGCTACCATAGCACTGTGGATATCTATATTCCTAGAGCTAAACCACTAATACCTGCAAAAAGTAGGATGTTGTATATTATGGAAATCATAGTTTTACTGCTAGGGATCCTGTTGAATGACAAAATCCATGCTGAGCAGGCAGCATTGTTATCATGGTAGTAAGTCCACTGAAATCAAGGTATCTTCCTTAACAAACTTAAGAGCAGGTAGGCTCGCATAGAGAAGTAGGACTCATACTGTGCTAGAGAAGCATGCAGCCACTGTATTTTTTTTAAAGTCCGTTTAAAATTGACCTCAACATATTCAGATAAAAGCATGGATTTTCAGAAGCCTGTTCTTACGGAAGTCATAGTAAAGAGCTTCCTACTTTAAGTGCCAAGAAGTCTGTTTCTGAGCAAACATAGATTCTTTTCAGTACATTGCTAATTATATCTGTACATTAACCTATGTCAGCTTGAGTGCCAGAAGTTTTATTACAAATACTTGTTTTCAGTGGACTGAGACAATTCCGTGTATCAAATGTTTAGCTGGACAAAAACCTTCATAGTGTTTCTAGTCAGCCAGTAAACAAATGACATAGAAATAACATATTACACATTTTCTTAATGTACTGTTTTGAAAATTACTTTAACTTCTGTTTCCTAAGCTTAATCAGAGAGAGAGAAAGCAGGATCGTTCTGTGTATCTTTACTACACTTCTTTAGCTATGTTTCCTCAATACAATAATTGGTAAGATTTTATTTTTTCTGGAAGCACTAAAGCCACACAGTGTGGTCACATGAAAATTTGAAGTTGTCTTAATGAAACAAAGATGACTTAAAATACTTTTTGGTGCAGGAAAAAAACATCAAAAAACCTCCAAACTTCCAAGATGGTGAGCATGATGTTTAAAATTACAGCTACATCCTTTGGCATAAAATAAAGATCACGGAAGTCTAGAAACAAATATCAAGTTTACAGTGTGCAAGTTCAGAAGAGTAAACTCTGCTTTTATACTAATGAAGTGTAAGATGGAGAAGTCACCAATCAAAGGGACATTTGAAAAATGACTCTTTGGTATTCCTGTCTGTTGCTCTTCAACCTGGTGCGTGCAATTAGTTCTTCACTGGTAACTTTAGTTATGAAAGGCCAGAATTCATTGATTTTGGTGAATGCTGGCTAACTCTAAAAGGAAGCAAATGGGAAATACCTAAATTCCAGATAATAGTTTGCAGATCCAGTATTTCTGCCTCTGGAATTGTCTTTAACTCAAAAGTTCTGGCATGCGCATTGTCATTCTGCTCACCCAGGTTTACAGATGTTGCTGCTCCAGGCAATAACACAAAGAAGAATCTTGTATACCTCGAACTACAAAAAGAGTGTTCCTGACGTTCCCTTATAGCATAGGGACCTGATATGAACATGGAAAGCCAAACTGTCTCCAGCATATTGGAAGGAATGTAACTCTGTCTTTGGTAAAGACAAGGCAGAGAAAAGAAGGATTTTTTTATCGGGGGAGAAGGCAGAGCCAGAATGCTCCGAAGCAGCTATATGATACAGTGGTATCTCCAGGTCCTGTTCCCAGGAAAGTGAGGAGACCTAGACCCGTGGGCCTGCGCAAGCAATAGTGTGGATAAGCAGTGCTTTTCAGGAGTTCAGAACAGATGAAAGAGAGCAACCTTGACTAAGCTGTGTTCTTTGTGTCTTAGTTCCTAGGTCTACTGAGTGCACCACGTGCATTTGGAAAGGTTCTCAGTGTTAGACAATGTGTTTGTATGGTTTTGCAAAGGTAAAAGCACTATATGCAGACTCAGAAGTTTGCACTGCAAGT